ACCGAATAGCAATTTTCAATAGCTTCAATTTGATATATAGACCGACGTTTGGGGTCAAGTATTTCTGCTCATAACTCAGAAAAACTATTTTGGCTTCATCAAATCACAGGCCTTCATCATAGCAGTTAGCCTTCCAGTTTATTTATAGTTCAATGATATGAGCTAATATCCTGCTAGTAGAGAACCAATCAGATTGCAGAATACCTCATATCCAGACCTTGTGTATAATAAATATAATTAGGTTTCGTTGTTTACAAAAACATTTAGCAGAGTGCTCAATGGATATCCAGAGCATAATTAAATAAGTGCAACGACTCAACAAATCATCAATGATGAATTCCCGATAGGCCGCCCCCTACACAAAATATTCAACCGCAACACTGTTAAAATAAGCTACAGTTGCATGCCTAATATCAAACAAACCATCGACGGACACAACAAGACCAAACTGTCACAAACCGCCACAACGAGCGAAGAAAGCACATGTAACTGTAGAAAGAAAAAGGAGTGCCCAATGTCCAAAAAGTGTTTGGTCGAAGCTATTGTATATCAAGCTACAGTTTCTACCAACGACAATACACAGCAAAAAATCGTTTTCTTATTTCAAGAAAAAAAAAACTTGTTTCAAGAAATATTTTCTTAAAACAAGAATTTTTTTACTAGGGAGAATAGCGAGAAATATTTTCTAACTGAGAAAATATTTCTTAAAATATTTCTTAAAATAAGAAAACATATTTTCTTGTTTTAAGAAAAATATATCTCATTTCAAGAAAATAATGAAACATTTTTCTAGTGCACTTTTTCTTAAAATAAGAAATTTTTTTAGAACTAGAAAATTTTTCTTAAATTAAGAAAACTTTTCTTAAATAATAAGAAATTAAATCTTAAATTAAGAAAATATAACTTGTTTTAAGAAAATATTTCTCAAAACAAGAAAATTTTTACTAGGGAGAATAGCGAGAAAAAAATTCTAATTAAGAAAATATTTCTAGATGAATCATTTTCTTGTTTTAAGAAAATATATCTTATTTTAAGATTAACTTTCTTAAAACTAGATACTTTTGACTAGATAAAAAAATAAGATAAATTTACACCTAACATTCTCAGTTTAAGAAAAAAATTCTCATTCTAAGAAAATAACTTGTATATTTACTGAAATTATAGTAGTTCTGATAGCACAGCAATGTGTTGTAGTGAATTGAGTTTCTCCCAGGGTTTTTTCCAGGATTTTCTCTTGGGTCCGTTTTTGCAGGGAAGATTGAGTTTAGCTGAACAGTTGGGGTGGCTGCATCCCCCCCCCCCCTACCGGTGGGCTGACACCTGTACTCAATAAATGTAATTGAGACGGAATGTGTTAAAACAGGGACACTATAAACTGGTTAAAGATGGCTTGTCGGGCTTCCAACTGAAAACTAATTTCCACACGTCACAACATTTTATAACTCAAACAACTTCACTTTTACTGCACTGAAATTTTGATGAGAAGATTGAGTTTCAAAACTCAATTCAAGATTGAGTTTTTGGGGCCGTTTAAAGGGCCCTAAAAAATCCCTGAAAAAACCCTGGTTTCCCCTGAAGCCATATTTTGTTTAACATTTTGTCCATTTCACAATCAATATTATCTATATCATTGTTCATTCACCAAGTCCATTGATTTCCTCATGTACATTTAATTAATACTGTTCCAAACACAGCATGCAATTGCCATCAAAGATCAATCATCTTAGAATCTGTAAAAGGAAAATTTTACTTATTGAAAATGTAATCATTACTTTATACAAAATATGCCAGAACAATGACCTTGAGGCTTATCATTAACCTACAGTGTAAAAGGGACTACTAACTGTGGATGTAATAAACAGCCTTTATTTAACCAATAACAAAGCCAGTTCGTATTTCATTTGTATGTACAAGGTGATGCAGGGTATGACAAATTTACATATGTTAACCAGAGACAGGCTTTCTCCAGACCTGTACCCAGTAGACCAGGGGTTTTTTCAGGGATTTTTTAGGGCCGTTAAACGGGCCCAAGAATTGAATCTTGAATTGAGTTTTGAAACTCAATCTTCTCACCAAAGTTTCAGTACAGTAAAAATGAAGTTGTTTGAGTTATAAAATTTTGTGACGTGTGGAAATCCTGACAATTAAGAAAAAATGGCTGGAATTCATCTTGCAACACAAGAAAAACTATGCATTCGCCATCTTTAACCAGTTTATAGTGTCCCTTAGTGCCCCTGCTTTAACACATTCCATCTCAACTACATTTATTGAGCATAGGTGTCAGCCTCCCGCGGTAGGGGGGGGGGGGTGCAGCCACCCCAGCTGTTCAGCTAAACTCAATCTTCTCTGCAAAAATGGACCCAAGAGAAAGTCCTGAAAAAAAACCCTGTAGACTACTATCTGGTGCCATTAGGTATCTGGGCACCACCCGCTACCATCTGGTATTAGGCAAACCACCATCTGGCGCAACTTCTTCTGGCAAAGACCTTGGACCCATGTTATTTTAAAAAGTAATAACCAATAATCACTATTAATCAGCAAGCTTAGTTTCACCAGACACTAAATTTTGTTGCATCATACTTTATTATTTTACTCTGTCTAACACCAGATAACTTTACTTGTCAAGAGGAAAGCAGTCGTGCTCAATGGGTTAATCAGACTATCTGCCCATGTGTCAAATTAACCATTTAGTTGCATTGTGCACTACGGTCTAATAATTATTAGTTAGCCAAGTAGATTATGTCAATTAATTTATGATCTGTCATGCGACAGTTCCTGTTTAAAGGGGAATATATCTTGTGGACTAAATATGATACTCAACTGACTGTCTTCTCTTAAATAACTTTAATTCATTATACAGTTAGCATCAATGTAGTGCAGTAACATTACATTAACCCTTTAAGTGCCAATGCACCAAGATGCACCCTACTTTATTATTTTACTCTGTCTAATGCCAGACGATTTAACTCATCAGGGACTCAGGGGAAGAGTGCTGCCACTAATTGGGTTAATACATCAGGACCCTGGACATGTACAATTGTTTGGCATTGAGACAATTGTTTGGCATTGTGGTTCCGGTTTCATATCGCAAAAAAATTAGGGTTGGTAGGTTGGAAATACCTTTTTTTTAAAATATTTTTTCATGGATTTTTCAATAATTAGTGTGACAACAGATGTCATTTGGCAGCAGCCCACAACCATCTGGAGAAAATAGGGTCGCACAGTCAATCACTTTGAAAAAATAATACGGTGGGCAGAAAAAAATAGGGTCGATCGGGAACCGGAACCACAGGTATTTTTTTACGCCTAGTATGGCACAGATAAACTTGGTACCTGTACCAAATTTATCCATGCTCGGCCTGTGTGAATAGGAGTAGTCCAAGCGTGGTAAACATGTTACGGATACCAAAATTGAGTACAGTGCCAACAGGCCTTACAATGGGCTGCATTGGGGGAAGATTTAGGATTCACATGTAATTGTGTTGTTAATATTTACCAAATGTTTGATGCAGTATCAAGAAATGTAATAATTCCTACATACAAGGTCCTTACATGGGCTGTTTACAAGATCAAGGCTGATTCGTCTGGCTGGACCAACTTGCAAGTGCCGAGATCTGGTCTTGTACGTGTATATTGTTTTTATATGTTTTTGAGATTTGATTCACATGAGAACCGGGCTGGCCTGGTTAATTTGATGGGCTCCCGTTTGAGCAAGGCAAGATCTCGCCTTTCCCGGCCAGCCCGGCAAACCAGACTGGCAATTGATCATTGTGTCACAACGCATGCTTTATTCTATCTACAGTAGAAAGCATATAAGAATTTAAAAAAATAACATTAATGAACAATATTAAAACTTCTGAAGCAGTTTCCTTCAATAAAAATACCATTTTCAAAATTAAAACAAATATCGCTTTCCCACCATATATAAAATTGTTTGGTAATTTCTTATAGCACTTGTCAGGCTAGCCCGCCTCATGTGAAACAAGTAACAACTTGGCCCGGCCAAGCAAGCTAACTCGGTTTAACGGGCCAGCATGGCTCATATGAACAGATCCTGGGTGACTACCTTAGCTGGGCCAGTTTGTCATTTTCTTCATATAAAGCACTAAAAGCAGACTATTTATTCTTGTTAATTCTTACCTTTATACAACACCAGTTTGTGAACTCAATCCAGAATTCCTTGATTGTTGAGAACAATATTTGGAGCCAGGCGATAGCCCAGTACCAATATTAATCTGAAAATACATAAAGCAAACATTTCAGGCATTGTGTCACAAACATGTTACACATTATAAACTGAAGTTCATTAAGGGCTTGCAAGACTGTCTGGCCCCTTGACGAGTGAAATTGTCTGGCACTAGGCAAAGTAAAGCAACAGCAGAGATGCATTTGGGCACATTTGCAAGCTTTATAATGGCCTTAATGGGTTATTAAGATCAAAACACTGAAAATATTATGTTCAAATTACATTCAAAGCTTTATAAATTCTTCTGTAATTCTAATCCTTATTCATATATTAAAATGCTAACATATCTTTGAAGGCATTCGAATGTTTACAGTAATATATACTAGGGTCAAGTTGAGTGCCATATAATTTATATGTCGAACAGCCAAAGGCAATATTTATTGCTATTAAATTGTTAATAATAGTGCATTAGTGCGTAATTTAGTACAGAATTTGCTATAATGGATTCGAATTGATATTTTATTCTTTCTTTCATTGCCAGAAACCAACATTTCGTAGGTTTTTTATGCAAATTGACGCGGCAAATTTAAACATTCAACGGAATTTTAGGCAAATGACTCAAGAACAATCACACATTCTTTCGCAATTAAAGTACTTAAATAATTAATCAAAATAAAATATTCTTACCTGTGAGGAGGTATAGAAGTAGCTTAATTCTGGTCTTCAACCACGCAAACAACCATGATGTGCGCATGTCACGACTGGGGCGAATTCGCATCCAGACCCCATTGAATGACTCGTTCTTGCAACAAACATGGCGGATAAAAGAGTGGAATGGCGCAAGGAAGGAACTGCCAAGCAATACGACTTTACAAAGGTTAAGAAGAAAAATAAGAAAATGATCAGAAAAGCAACTCGAACGATTAAAGATATCGCTACTTTAACTTCGTCTAAACCTTCGTCTTCACGATCTTTTAATGACACAGAATCTCCAGGTGTGAATTATGTTGAAGTCAATGACGAACATGAAGTGCAATCACAAATTGTAAGTATCCAGTTAAACTGTAAGTATATCTCTCGGTCTATTAAAATTCAGTACTATTAAATACTATTAATTCGCACAATTTTGTAATACTTTAATTTTTCTAGTATTTGCTGAGAATTCCTGGTATAAAAATGCATGTAAACAATATGTTTTCCATATGTGTGAATATATGAAACGAAGTGACTATATGACCGGCAGCCGGTCACGGTTTATCAAATACTAAATGGCCGGCAGTCTAGTGACTATTGTTAAAGTTGAATTTTTATAAGATAAACATATCCCCAACCCCAAACCCTTTTCTAACCCTAACCCCTAACCCTAACCTTTTGAGAGTTAGAAAAGTCGGAAAAAAGGTTAAAAAAATTTAAGAAAAAACAATGCTAAGTCAGACAAAACACATCCCGACCCCGACTGCGTTTAACTTTTCCGCACGCAGCGCCCTTGCCGTATGAGCTAACGGCAAGCTCGGTAAAAGCTAACGCAAACAAAAGTTTTTATATTCAACTATAGTCACTAGACTGCCGGCCATTTAGTATTTGATAAACCGTGACCGGCTGCCGGTCATATAGTCACTTTGTATATGAAAACCCAGTAGCTATCTGCTGTGTATTTACTATTTACCCTCTAAATTGTAAATAGTATTTGACAAAGATGCTTTCTGCCTGTGAGAATCCCTTTGGGTCTTTCACCAATGTTTTGGGGAAATATGCAACATTTCTTGACCCGAAAATATGGAACAGTTTTTTGATCTATTAAAAGATCTTTTCTGACAAACATCAGAATGTCATGATTTTTTGATATTCTAGTATTTATTTCAGCAAGTAATATGGTAACAGTACCATTATTAGATACACAATAAAGGTGTGCAAATCCGATCCGAATCCGATCGGATTCGTTCCCATTTCAGAACCATTAAAATATTTATTTCGGATTGGATTGATAAAGTTGTTTCATAGTCGGATCGGATCGGAGTTCGATATCCGAAATAAAATGAATTAATTATCCACACATTATCGTAAGAATTAATTATCCATGCATTTATTAAAGCATTATTGCGGGTTGTCGCTGCATTATTTGTTTGATACTTCAATTGGACGTCACTTTGTCAGCTTCTTGACATGTATTTTGTGCTTTTATATTTATTTGGTTAAATATTTCAACTTGAATGAGAAATTTATTTTATTAAAGAATTCTTCGGATGGGATTGGAATTCTTTATATTGAATCGCAAAATTGAACTGATACCAATATTTCCATTTTAGTACCGATACCTATACACCGATATGGATATTGGTGCATCCCTACACAATACTCATTGTCTTGCTAATGACAAACTGGAAGTAGAATTGTTTTGCATACAGTTTATACAAACTGGAAGCAGAATTGGTTTGCATACAGTTTGTACAAACTGGAAGCAGAATTGTTTTGCATACAGTTTGTACAAACTGGAAGTAGAATTGTTTTGCATACAGTTTATACAAACTGGAAGTAGAATTGTTTTGCATACAGTTTATACAAACTGGAAGCAGAATTGTTTTGCATGCAGTTTGTACAAACTGGCAGTAGCATTGTTTTGCATACAGTTTGTACAAACTGGCAGTAGAATTGTTTTGCATACAGTTTGTACAAACTGGAAGTCGAAGTATAATGCATGAGTCAATTCCAGGAGTAACCCCCCCCCCGGGAACACACCCGAGAATTTGATTTGATTGGTTACGATAGTGCAAGTGCCCGAGTGCAGGGACACAACTAGGAGACTAATGCATGGCACCCCGTGGACAATTTTAAGCGTTATTAAATTAAACTTTTAATGGCATATCTTAGGCATAGTCATTTAATAACATTATACTATTAAACTGCTATAGAATATTATAAAACTTCAATCTTGCTAAGAGTGGTTAAAAGGATTTAAACAACAAAATCATAAACCTTTAATAGTTGTATTTAAATTTGCATGACACATCGCAAAAGTGAAATCATTTATCAAATCCCCGGGGTCTCAGCCACTATAACAATACCCGGCCAACGTATATGACAAGCAAATTCCTGACCCCTGTGAAATGTCTATCACGCAAATTCCCGGGGGTGTTCCGGGGGGAGGGATGGTTACGCCAGAAATTGACTCATGCATAACACTTGAAAGGTTATCAAAAAATTAACAACATGTCTACTGTTTAATTAAACACTTCCTAAGATAAAATTCTGAAAGGGGATAGGGGTTAACTTAACTTAACCAATTTTCTCTGTGAGGAAGGTACATTATGTATGTTTTCAGGAATTATCCGGTGCATTGTTGTTAATAAAAACTTGATCTACAATCTTTGTTCAGCTAGGAAATGATGTGATTGTTCTGTATATCTTCACCTAATCAGTCTTTTCGGGCAATACCTCCTGGTTGCTCTTTGGCCATTTTTAAGATCAAAATATTCTCAACTGACCTTCACTCAAACTTAAAATAACAGCAAGATTACCAAGACACACCAAGACTGATGACATGTTGGAAAATCATGGATAATCGTCTGGCATTAGACAGTAAAATAATAAAGTAGGGCACAATGCGACTCAATGGGTTAACCCATTAAGATCCATTGCAGCCTGATGCAGCCCTATTTTACTATTTTATTCTGTTTTATGCCAGATGATTTTGCTTCTGAAGAAGAGAGTGCTGAGCACTGCTAAATGGGTTAATCAGACTATTTTATTGTTTTGCTCTGTCTAATGCAGATGATAATACTGTAGTATAAGGAGAGTGCATGCACTCAACAAACTTGGATATATTTCAGGGAAATGTGCAATCAATGGATGTGATAGTACAAGGATCAGTCGAAGTTAATGATGGACATTCATATTGTATGGAACTTGTTTCACAGGATGGGATAAGAACATTAACTGTCACCTGTTTTCTTCTCCAGGATTACTCAATAAATAACACAATGTTGCAGGTATTACAGCATATTTAAATTTTGAGAAATGTGTTGAATTAATTTTTAATCACCTAACTGCTGGTGTATATGTGTGGCTATAGCAATGATATACAGTATCATGTGTTGTTGCATCAAAATACTCTAAAATTGGACTATAGGCTGTTGTTGATTACTTTATCGATAAATAGTCTGTGGTACATGTATTTTGAAATCTCATTTATTTGATCAATATTGAATTTTTAAAAAATGTTCGACATACATATGTCTAACAGCTGTATTGAAGGTACAGGTAGATATCTTTATTCAATTCTAGGAGTCATTTCAATCAGCACAAATATTTGGAATTTTAAATAACTAGAAATGACATGAGACTATTTCCAGTTCATACTGAAATTATGCTTTATATATATATAGATAGCAGTAAAGCCCACAAAAACAGTTATTATTTAATGTTGTAGGTTGTTCATCTGCATATGATTTGTCGTCTTATCCAACAATGGACTTTCCTTATCTGAACAGTCAGGGTGCAGAGCAGCGAAACTCATCATTTAAGAGAATAAAATCATCACTGTACATGAACGAAAGAAACTTCATGAGTCACTGTAAATTGTTCTTGTATTTCCATAACCAACGACTCGCAGCAAAATTATTACAGGAACAACCAAAGAACATAGAAGAAGTTTAATTAATGTCTATAAAATAATTTAATATCTATATCTCGTTGTGTCCTGAGAACCTAGCTTTCCTCATAAGATTGCATGCAGATACTTTACAATACTGTACATTAAATGATGTACACTTAACTGCATGAATATAAATATGTATAGTCCAAAAACCATGACCAGCAGACAATTTAAAAAAAAAGTAAAAAACAAATTTCCCGAAAAGACAAGACATCTTGAGAATACACTATATAAATGATTCAAAACAAGACGTATATATTGTATTCTCAAGATCTCTTGTCTTTTTGGAATTTGTTTTTTACTTCTATAAATATGTATATAGGTCAGGAGTTATAGTAACTGTAAACACGGAATCTTCTGTCATCACTAAACAATAATATGTTTATGGTTTTGGAAAGATTTGTATATACAGTTAAAATTAAGAAATATGTAAGTATCGAGAAAAAACGAACGAGAAAAATGTAATGTTGAAAATAATTTATGTCTGTCTTATTTTCTTTGCCTGTCGAAAGTATATATGGGAATTTGAACGTGTCTTTCTGTCCTTACTTGTATATCCACAATAGCACAATGTAATAATAATTTTTCTGACCGAGGAAAATTTCCAAGCCATACAATTTCCAGTATAATGGTTTACTCATGCCTTGGACATGAGTACGTAGGTTCGATTCCTACTGTACTGTTAACTTATGCAGATATTGCATGTTGCAGATCGAATGAATTTGTAAATTTACGGCTTTAAATGCACGCCTTTGAGATAATTCGCTAATTATAAATTGTAAAGAAAATTTGAATTGTTTTTTGCACCTCGTGTATAATTTTTATTGGAATACTAGGTAATTCACATAGGCCTACTTTTCCGTTCACGTCTGCAATTTATGCAGAATTGGAACATTTTACATGTAAAATTAAAGGTTCATATATAAAATAATTAATTTCACATGTCAAGTTATTTATGCTTACAAGTGGAATAGAACACTTTAATTACATGTGAATCACGGGTGAAATTTTCGTAAGGGATGACTATATACACGTAAAAATGCACAAGTTGTTGCAGGTTTGCTAACAAGTTGTTACAAATCTGTTCACAAGCTGTCGACAAATTGTGTTCGCACTACTTGTTGCCAGTTGTTGTAACAAGTTTGGAACAAGCTGTTAACAACTTATAACGAGCTTAATGGCATTATCAGACTTGTTGCAAGGTTGTTCTAACACGTCTGATACAGTCATGATATATAACAAGAATGTTACAAGTTTGACGAGACAGGATTGTAATAATATTGCTATATCATTACTGTATCGGACTTGTTGGACCAACCTAGCTTGCAACAAGTGTGATAATATCAACAAGGTTGTTACAAGTTGTTAACAATTATACTTGGGATAAGCAGTGCGAACACAACTTGTTTATGGCTTGTTGGCAGACTTGCTACAAGATGTGAGATTGTTGCGTGTGTACGATCGTTTTCTCGTGTAATGTCAAATTAACAAACAAAATAAGAACGCTGTATATGGTATACAAGTTATTTCAAACATGACTACAAATTTAAAAGGTCGAGAAGGGACTTTTATAAGAATTTGTATTGTTTTAGTAGCATTATGAAAATGTGCATGTTCCGTTTGATCGACCTGTTATGATGTTATTAATGTTAATCTCGTTCACATATACTGTAGATTTCATGACATATTTTATATATTTAAAGTGCGAAGCACGATCGCGAATACACATGCGATGCTAACAGCTATGGGCGATGATAACGGCTATGGGCATTGCTATACACGTACTTCGTAGTATACTCATTTCTCATTGGCATTAATTGTCATATCAACCACAAATATCAGGTCACAAAACAACCACGACGATCCAATTGAATTTATTGGAATTTGTTTTCTAAATTAAGACTGCGAATATATAAGACATATTCATATGCATAGAATTTTTCAGTTCCACAATGCCTTCCCATTTTATTGAGGGTGAAATTGAATGCAATAAAATCTAAAATATCAACCACGAATACAAGGTCCCAAATCAACCACGACAATCCAATTGAATTTACTGGAATTTTTATTCTAAACTAAGTCTGCATGAGAAGTTATAGGATATGTTCATATGCATATACAGTATTTTCTCAGTTCTTCAATGCCTTTGCATGCTGTTAAAGTTGAAATTTAATGCAACAAGATCTAAAATAATCAGGGTTAGTGTCGTACCTTACTATGTGACTACTCACCCTCCAGCTGTTCAAAAACAGCATTGACACTCAAGAGAAGCTCAGATTGAACCTCCACTCAGTGAGTGTGAGTAAGCTTTTAGAATACAGGCATAAAAATATATATTTGGGGGCTGGGGGCGGATTGAGAGGGACTTGGTCCACGTCCAATGCCAAGCTTATACTTTTCAAAATTTAGTATTTAGTATTTAGTATAATTTTAGTATTTACCTGAACAACACACATTCATGCAATGATACAGAAATGTGGTAATTCATTTAGTTGTTTCATAAGTATCATGACATTTGAAGACTGAAGAGATTTAATTATTTTCCTCGCGTATAGCACGTTTAATTTGATGTTTGCCGATGTTCAAAGATGCTGTATCTGATGATCGAATACCGCGCCTGTGGCTGGACGGCCCATGGCCAGAAATTCGCAACATTGAGCCAATATATTGTCAGCGGTAAATCGTCAGAAAACTCAAAATGGCGTTGAAGCGTTTGTCAACACGAGTAGACTACGTGCAACTAGACAATTTTAGTTCTGTTGTTTTATACAATAATACTGCGCCACGAAGGAAAAAGGGCAAGATCTACGAAGTAGAAAGGATAATCAGCAGAAAAAAGCAGAAATGCGTAAGTATTGTGGCGAATTTGGTTGAAATTTCAACTGCTAATTTCTGTTTAGAAAACAATATGGCATTAACTATTGTGACTAACATTTTCTTTTATTATTTTATTAGGACTATCTATATCTTATTAAATGGGCTGGGTGGCCTCTGCACACATGTACTTGGGAGCCTTCTGATAATTTGCCAAGCAATTTAATACGGTAAGGAATAAAGGCATTTAAGGCAACACTCTTTATTAATACTGTATACTAACATCAAACTAAAACATTATTTTGTTTCTTTTACACTTCTCTCATGCATAATAGCAATTTAAAATTATATTATGTTTTCTAGTGGGTATGAAAGACCACCAAAGCCTTCTGACAGTCGATTAGAGAGCACTGCTAGAGCATTTGCATCTGGCATTCTGTCAATGCTAAAGTCAAGGTCATTGGGAAAGGGCTACATTGAGCTTGAGCATGATTGCTGGCGTTGTCACTTCGAGAAAGGGGAGACCATCGGAGCATAAAGGCCATCATTTATTAGAGAGAAATGATTTTGGTCATCTTTCAGTGCTTCCTTCCGACTGGTGGTACTACCTTAATGAACATGGAGAAGGTAAAAAGGTGGACTTTCCCATTGCAATTAAAGCAGTTGTAGTTTGGTCACCAAAGAAACATATTTTTGATGCGAAGAAGCTTGTGGAAGGACCAAGGTTTCCTATTGAGAAAATTTCTATTTACTTTGCTCGGCTGCCATGCACCGAGAGAAACCTTTTGGTGTAATGTCATAACACATTTATCACTTATTTACTAAGACCAAGGGAAACAGTGTGTTTTGTGGATGCAAGACTGACAACGGCATTCGAGGGGTCACAAAACACACTGCTTTCCCGAGGTGTTTTGTTATTTAGTACATAAGTGTCAAAGTATGAATAATTCACCGGTTATTGGAGTGATCTTTGAAACCAAAACTAGATAAATGGAATGCCGTAAATGTTTAATAAAAAAGTTTAATCAAATTAATTTTTGAATTTAACGGTTGGTGTGCTGCATCCATTCTATTGTTTACTGGTCAATAAATGTTCTATTATGGACTGGTTGCCTCGTTACCAGGGCAATACAAAGTAAACATGGCATTATGTGATATGCTTTTGTCCAATCTGAAAACAGAAAATTGAACTTTGACACTAACTATATAACAACGTGCATTGTTAGAAAGACTATACATATATACTCCAGAACATAAATACAAATTATATATACATACATATATTTCATCTTATCATATTACAGAGTGAACCAAATGAATATTATAACACAACATAATATATTATATACATTAAAATTTGGAAGATTATTGATCTTCAAGTGCTCTTTTCAAAATCTTTTGCAATTTTTCTAATTTTCGGGCTCGTGTTTTAACTCCTAGTTCCTTCAGCTTTTGTTTAATTTCAAGAACTGAAAGACCATTGATATCTAAAACACGTTCTGGATTGTTAGGTTGCGATTCTGGACATGGGGTGTCAAACAACTTTCTTCGTTTGCTTCTTGCTTCTTTGATCTCAGTTGACCGGTATTCACAATTTCTCTTCATATATGCCCTTGGTTCTCGCTCATGTTGACTGGTGAACTGCAGTCACTTGCTAACAAGTAAAATGTCTTTAGGTGCATCCCATTTGTTAGACTTTGTCAGGTGAAATTTTCTGACATCATCATTATTTTTCTCCACCCCTTTGTACACATAAAAAGAGAAAGTGCGCATATAATTGATGTTAAATAACCATCTGATGCTCGATATATGCAATGGCAAAAGAGGCTATGTTACTGTGACCAGTCACACGGGGTCACATGGTCACACTAAATCTTATGCAATAATTAG